ACAGGCCCTCCTGTAACAAACACCAGGGGCAGGGCTGATGAGCCTTGCTTCCAGACACGCCTGCACTGCGCCGTTCAGGCCTGAGGTCCAGTTTGGTGACACTGCGAATCCTCAGAAAAGGAAAGAAAAAAGAAAAAGGGAGAAACTCCAAATTCCTTAGCAGAAAAGTACTGAGGACCCTAACGACGGCATCGAGATGTAACTGCAGCAAATTGACGACAATATGGAATTTTAGAAGTCTGACGCTCCTTTGCGTTTTTTTAAATTAAAAAATTTTAAAAGAAACGAACAATGACAAAGTACTTATCAATGCTGAAAATGTAAAACAGGTTTTGAAAACTGCCCGAGAACAGTTTCTTGGGAGTTTCCATCTCCCTTGATGAGAAACAGGGACCAGACCAGAGTTAGCCCCCGGCCCCATGATGGCTCGTGAGCTTCTATGGGACAGTCAATGAAGTAACAGGCGGAGCACAGACTGAGAGCCCTGATGACTGAGGAACACACGAGCGGGGAAGGGATTCACTTCACCTCCTAGGATCTGTTTCCGCCTCCATAGTGACTAAATTATTTAGATGATCACCAAGGTCATTTTGTTTCTAAAGGCTACACACACCTTCCAGCTTAAGTCTGCTTCTCCAGACGGGGACTGGCCCTCAGCTTAACATCTGGCCCCAACTTTACAGCAGACATAATGGTGCCAGGAGCGCTGGGAACACAATCCCCCTCTCCCCCTGCCCCCCAAAAAGTCCCATGCAACAGGAATACGCTACGGGAAGAAGGGGACGAGAATAATTCTAAAAAGCCGGTAAAGCTTACTGAGCGAGCGGGCATCTGGTTTTGCTTAGAATCACTAGTAAGAGTACTAGCAAAGAACACGTAAAAATGTTAAAGAAAAAAAAATGCATTCGACCAGGGCAAATGCGGCATCAGCTTTTGGGACCTAAAAGTAGGCAGACTCCTCGCCCTGGGCGCTGGGGACCGGATCAATTTAATCAAAACGGAAGTCCCCCAGCGCCAGCTGCCAGGTCCGGGCCCCGTGCGCCTAAGCAGTCCCGACCTGGAGGGGAAAATGTGGAACCAAGATGGAGGAGGGGCCCCGGCGGAGTCGGCTCCGGGCGAAAACCTCGTGGCGGCTTCTCATGGCGCCAGCCGCCTTCCCGCTCCCCTGTCCTGCCGGCGGGCACCGTCCCGACCGCCGCCCGGCGCGCAGCGCCCACCTCGCAGGCGCCCCTGGCGGAGCTCGGCCCGGAACCACGCTGGAGGCGGTTAAACAGCAGGGCTGAGACCAGCCACACCTCGGAGGGAGTTCGGGGAGCAGAGGAAGAAACATCTGGGAGGGCTCCGCCCTGCTCCACCTGCAGGGAAGGCAGGGGTGAGAGGGGCGCACTCCCGGTCTCTCCTCGCGGATAAAACAAAGAGAGCGGGCTCCGGGGGAGCCGGACACCCGCGGGGGGACCCTTTCCGGCGTCGCAGCGCGCTCGGCCGGGGCACCCGAGAGCACGGGGCCAGGGAACTTTCTCAGGGACGCCTGCCACGTTTCCCCGACAAGCAGCAACAGGGAAAGCCCGACTATTCTCATCTCACGGGGGCCACCGCACCTTGGTGGCTCTCGGGATTTTACCCGGAAAAACTGCAATCCCGACCCGCGCGCGTCCAGCCCAAGCGGGGCTCCCCTTCCCCGGACGCGCCCTGCGCGCTCTCGCAGCCGCCCCTCGGGTCCGGGCTCGCCGCGCTCTCGGTATCCACGCGGGCGCGGGGACAGGGTGCATCGGGGACTCGTTGGGGACCCCGCTCAAAGCCCTCTCC